AAAACACCATTTGAACGTTCGCGCCCTTCACAAACATTTCCTTGGGGATACTCTCCCCTTCCCTACCCTGGGCGTTATGCATACGGGCCTAAATGTGCTGGCATGTTTCTGAGTTTGCGTGTGTGCAGATTTTTTAGCTGCCACTTCGTCGTTTCGTTGGTGTGTTGGATTGTTGTTGGTCGGTCTAAGCCCCCACAAGAGCTCCTACGCTTATGATAAGGGGAGTGAAGCAGACAAATCCATGTCAACTAAGGTGTTATCAGTAAAGAGATGATTCAGAATGCTGACAGCGATTAATATCGACCACTCTTATTAATATTATATAATCATAGCTTAATTCTGATGTGCAGTACAGCTATATTGTTGTTCGAAGACAGATGATGCAATGAATACATCGAAATGTAATACCAAGCAATACCGAGCAGCGGATTTTCCTCGTCCGCGAAAACTCTGGGGATTGAAAAACGAAAAACTCCAATCGTGACAGTTTTATTGAAAGAATGCTAGCGATAGGAATCGAGCCCCTCAAAAATTATGAACGTCTCCTCGAGCAGGTCGTCCTCATTGCTTTGACGATCTTTTCCGAGTCGTTGAACTTCGTGCACAGGTTGTTCAGCACATTCATAAACTTGAGGACATAATCGTGCTGAAACAGTCTCTACTTCTTTCTGTGGCCATTATTCTGTCAAGCAAGGAAAATTGAAAAAGAGCAGTCACAGTGCAGGATGAGGGCTGTATGTTTGAATACCATAGCAGATGAAAATCAGTCGATAGGATTTGAAAAAGCTAGTACTTCATCGACATATGAATAATGAATCTGTGGAAACGTAAAGGAGGAGAACCTCAACAAAGGAGTCAGAACTGACGCCGCAGTTTTTTCTTTTGGAACTTTAATCATTCACTTGTAGCAAGCTTATTTATTTATTTGTTTATTTTTTCTTGTCAAAACGAAGGCAACTAACTGAAACGCATAAATTGTAACATTTCGGCCGATGCTTCAGAGAACAACAGCTAAGACATCGAGATATCATACCAAGATTAAATTGTTGTTTATTNTTTAATCATTCACTTGTAGCAAGCTTATTTATTTATTTGTTTATTTTTTCTTGCCAAAACGAAGGCAACTAACTGAAACGCATAAAATTGTAACATTTCGGCCGATGCTTCAGAGAAGAACAGCTAAGACATCGAGATATCATACCAAGATTAAATTGTTGTTTATTTATTTATTTATTCTATACACTCAAAGGTGTGCCCAACATATATTACTTAGCCGGCAACTCATCGGCCGTGCAAATATTTTGTAATTGAAATTCATAATGAATAGGGAAATAGAGCTCACCTTACTAATATCCGGGCAAACTGAGTCCAAACCTCTCACGACATCGTCATGACAGTCAAGATCCTCAACGCCGCCTCTCTCTTCAAGTATTCGACTCCTGAATTCCAGTGTTTTGATGTTGCAGAGCACTTCAAATATGCTCATGAATAATACTATATGCAGAGGCCAATAACCTCTCAGATTGATCTTTGACGAAATTGTCGACTAGGTTTTCGAAAAATTCCTCGATTTTCTGTCGTTCCTGAATTTAAAGTCATTTTCAAAATGGGTTCAGCAACATTTATGGAGCTAATATCTCATGGCGAATAGGTGAAGCTCTAAGGTCTACTCCAAGCTCTTTTAATTGATCGAGATTTTTTGGACCTTTTTCAAGTCAATCCTCTCGTACAAACGTAGCCAGACAAGTCGGACACAAGGGGGTGGTGGGAGCATTCCAGGAGTATGGGCACGACATGAAACCCAAGAAATGGTGAAGATTCAAGAAAAAAATGAAGTAAGAATTCGTTTCATCCCACTACACGGTGTCTACGAGGTATTACATTCGCAACCGAAGTGAAAATGAGTTTTTCGACAGCAGGCACTGGTCCTACCTGGTCTAGGCTTGAATAGGCCGATCTGCTCGGAAGTGAGAGCTCACCTTCTGAATTTCACTGATCCTATCGTCGGCTTCAGCAGTTGCAAGGCCAAAGTGTTTCATCCTTTCGAGATACATAAGTTCGACATCTCTCGATGGCCACGTTCCACTACGTTTTCGGTTCTAAAATTTTTTCTTCTCAAGAGATACCAATATTTTTGATCGCTTTTGTACCTTTCGCCTCTTCAGCTGTCCGGACAAACGAAAATTGCGATTTCAGTAGAAGTTTTAATAAGAGAAAAGATGTGAGCGACTCGCCTTGTTCATGACTTTGGGTGCTTTCTTGACCTTGCCGGAGCCATGGAACCAGCTTACCGGGAACTTGGACATGGTTGCATTACCGTAGCGTTGCACATGAGACTCTTCTACCAGATCTCTGACGTGGTCGAACTGCTCGTTCAGAGTCTCGAGAGTGATATCGGTCTGAAAAGGCGACTGTCAAATTTGTTGTACAAGCAAGTCAATCTTTGGGGATAACAGTGCGTTAAGAGAACAGCATCATTTTATTTTTATGTGGTCTAAGAACCCTTCGAGTGTTGAAAAGTTTCTACTCCCCGCTAAAACTCTCAGAGTTGAAATCTCCATAGCAAGAGAAGCCGCTTCCTTGCACAAACCTTGAGCGACTTACTCGACAGGAGGAGGGTTCGAATGGCTTGGCCCTATGCCATGGAGCATACTGTGGAAAGTCTCGAATCAGATCTTCAACTACTCTGTCGTATACTTAGACATCCTTCTTCATCACTGTTAATTTAAAAGAACGGAAGCATAGCTACATGCATTCAGGAGGCATTTTTCAATTAAAGAATTGTGGTGCTCGAAGAAAACAATGGTAATTGTCTGCTTTGTAAAGGTCCTTTCTTCAGAGGTTCTCAAATGTGTTTTATATGGAACGTTATACCAGCTCCCTCTTTCCATCTGTTACTAATATGTAAGAATAAGAACATCCCTATTTCTCAAAAACGGAAACTTTCACATTTTCCTGATCGCTTATCTCGAAAAGCGCTAACCAAACATTCCTTTCGCAATAGGAAATTTCTTATCTGTGTCGTCAACATCTGATTCATACTGCACTAATGATTCGTAAGATTAAGGAAATGCAAAAAGGAACGACTTATCATCACCTCGTCAGTATCGTCCATCCAAGTCACCGAGAATTCATCTCCGAGACATGGCAAACGCGGGTCCTCGTAGCAGTAGGTGGCATACGATGATTCATCCGGATTAGCCGCAGTGACAGCATAAACTGAACATTGAAATCTCTTGAGTGTTTGGTTTCAAAGAAAGAATTTGCTCAATAGTCCATCACCTCTAATGCGTACCATTAATATTTTTCTTCAAAATCTGGTGGAACATTGAACCGCTTTCACAGGTTTCCAAGTAGAACACCAGGTGACCGAACTTATCTTTCCTATGCATATCTAACAAAACGCTGTTGAGCTGCTTTGCTGTCAGCTGAAATTACTAAGTCCATATGACCACAGTATTGGCATACAATCTTTGCAAAAAATTTGTTATGCCAGTCTTCCTAGCAATTACGTCAAAGAGCTGCCTATTTCAAGTAGCCACTATTAGTGGAATATTTCGTTTACAGTATTTCCGTATGGGAGATACAAATCCCATTATATCCCACTTGGTTATGATTCCCACTTCACCTAACATACCCTGCTCATTCCAAAGATCCTGTCCTTCCAGCTCCCCAAGTTCTGTCAAGTCCTACATTTCTACTCATTACTGGTTCAACACTTACTCTCTCATAAGGGAAGCTGATGGTGCCTACACCTCCATGGTCGGAGAAATAAACGAAGATTCGGTCATTGGCGGTGCTGTAAAGAGAAATTTTAGGATTGTTGTTGAATACGAATTTCATCTGATCTTGCCTGTGAATAACACGGCCGTTTCCTCCCTTCACAGCAGTCTTATTTCCTTGGAGAATGGCTAGGAAGTTACTCGGTGTCACGGATTTACCCTATTCAAGAAATTTATAGGTTCGAGTGATCAATCCTTCATTGACAATACTTTCTTGATTGCCCACCTTGTAGTCGATGACTACACCTTCGTAAACATCAGTAAGGCTCGGATCGTTGAAGATTTTTCCTTTATAAGGGTTTCTAAAAAAACTTTTGAAAATTTGATAAAGTATTTCGATTATAGGCTTTCTATACTATTCCCTTACGTATTCTACTGAAAAGCGTAAGGAGTGGTCGGGCTCTCCAAAAAATGCCATGGAGTCCACCCCAGGAATGCCAGGAATTAGTAGTTTCAAAAGAACTTTTAGCCTCCCAGCCTGCACTGAGTGTTCAGTGAGCTCTCATCCCAACTCTGTCAGGGATAAAGTCGAGCCTAGAGTTTTGGAGGCCTTTGATGGACGCCCTTGTTTAACTGGTTGACTGTATCCATTTTGGTTATGAAATTACAAAAAAATGAGGAAGACCTTTGATGATTGGCGATGTCGTCGACCATCATCACGATAATGTTATCCGGCTTGACCCCATGATTTATGAGTGTGTGATAGGCGTGGGAAACATCAGCCTGAATGCAGAAAAGTGATAAACTGAGATGTAATAAGTACAGTAGTTAAAGTTTCGAAGAAAGCTCAAGAATGAAACAAACAAAAGGTCTGCAGGAGCACAGAGAACTTGTAAAACCGTCATTCCATGTGCAACAAAGCCCGCAAGAGTTGTCAAGACCAAAAGCTTCTTGAATAAAATAAAAACAGAGTGTGTGTGCGCGTGTGTGTAAGTCCTTGACTTCAGCTACTTCGGAGCTTCCAAGCAATTTCGATGCTTCCATACTCGAGCTTTGCTGCTTCACCAAAACGGGGTATCCCGTGTGGGGAAACAAAGATTTGATTTACATGAAACATCAACATAATCAGGGAAACCTCCTGTCTTCGAAGCCGTTATCGAATTCACTTGGAAATGACTACCATTCGACGCCACAATCCATCGATGATAAGAGGCCCTTTGGAGGGCATATCTCCTTAAATGGAGTTGATCGATACGTGAAATTCGGCACGACACGACCTTTATCCATTTCTTCCAGAAATCTTGGTTTGAAGCTATCCGAACATCTTTTTGGTAGTCTTGGCAGTAAAGCGGTAAAAGGTCTACTATGTAGGATTCTTCGACACATTTTTGCTTTCGGGCGGAATACTCTAAAACCATCTTCATTCTATGTTGATGCATAGGTGAAAAAGTTCAAAAGAACTTGATTTTGAAAATATTTCGGATCGGAAAGTTCGGAGTCAGCTCGCTCAGTGTTCCTATGTGTCGAAGGAAGCGCCATAGCTGTACCACGATTGTCTCTATAGCACAGATATCAAAACACTTCGCTATCTTTATGGAGTACAAATTTGTAATCCGTCTGAGAAGAATAACTAATTTTTGTTCTGTTCAGTTCCATCGGAGTCATTCATACCATATTCCTTTCAGCCCAACTTACAAAACAAGGACCACAAGAAATCCAGATCTGAATTCTGACCTGGTGGCGGTAGTTCCACCATCCATCAGAGCCAGCCACCAATAAGGCATACAGTTCTCCTTCTGGTTGAGGAATAGCGCTGGAATGAAGCCGTTGTAATAACGAAATCTACAATGAATAAGAATCTAGTCTAAAAGCTAACCCATTCTCAACAAACTCACAGCGAAGCGACAGATATCACCAACGCCGCTAATGGGGCAATCCTAAATAGCAACGTCATCTGAAAACAGAGTGATTTTGAAGATACAGAGGGTAAGCGTCTATAAACTACCACGACCGAATTGTGCTGACGTGATTTATTTCTACAGCTAAAAGTGAAGGTGAAGGAGAGGGAGAGGTGCCGAACATTAGAAATGGTTGGATGAGGTGAGGGTTTTAAAGTGGAGGGTTTGGCCATCAAGAAGGATTAGTAACTAAAGACTCAGATAGGGGACTTCCACGAGGAACACAAAAAAGAAGAGAAGAATTTGTCACGTCAGGAGTATTTGAGCGTTTTTGAACTAATGCCACAAATCTGTCCGTTATCGCTATATAGGAGGGAATTTTTGTTGAACGGTCTTACAGAAGGTCTGCGAAAGGCTGATTACACACTTCTGACGTGAATGCTCAAAACTATCTTTCCTAAAAGTCCCTACAAATTTCTGGACCCCTGAACTTCAGATGCCGCTGAAAACCTTGCTTTGACACAAAGGCAATGACTTCAGGCAACGATAGCACTAATCACTCATTTATAGCGATGTAGAAGTGAATTGAGTCTATCGAAGAGTCGCAGGTCCTCAAACTACTACATAAATACTAGCTAGTCAGAGTTTACCCATGCTGAACTGAGTTCAAGTTGTAATACGGGGGCATAGCTACGCTTCACGTTATCCTATTACTTTGCCTATGCGGAAATCGGCTCATCCCTGAATCTTTCCACCGCTAAGTCCGCTGCTTTATGGAAATGAGGAAGTAATTCTTGGGAACTCACACGGAATATCTTCTCTTCAACAGATTTGTTTCACAAAAATCCGATGATACTAGTGCAGAAATGATGACCGGTTGCTCAAAGCGGCATGTATTGCTCTGCAGAAGGGCAACAAGATAATAAATTCTGAATATCACTAAAGGCCCTGACGAAGAGGGCAGGCACAATGTACCAGTCGGATAGCCCGACTGATGCCAGAATCTCCTGCTTTTCATGATGAAGTTGACCTGCCGTCCACATTCTCATTCTAGTTTAGACACTATGGTCCCAGTGAACAGGATTTACTAGTTTCCGACGAAATTCACACCCACACGCCTTGCCAACGTCCCAACCGCCATAAGCGGAGTTCTGCTGAAGTTTTCACATTTCTGAACTTGCTTTTACTATAAAAAGCCTACTAACAGTGGGTATGTGAATAAATGCCTTAGTCTCATGATATTTGTTTTTCTTTCCAACAATATCTACTATAATGTGATCCGGAAAGTTTCCGCCGACTTTCGAGTAACCTTGGAGTGAAAATTGCTCTAAGAACAAAGCTATTCATCAAACAGTTCATCCTCCATTCTGTCAAGCAATTATTCGCCACCTTCCTGTAAGTTTCATTATCCCACTTTCCTAGGATGTTTTAGACTTATTTCAAATCTAAACCGTTCCCGCTCCACCTCGTTCGTCCTAAAATTTTCGTGTATTTCAAAAACAATTCATTTTTGTTTTGATCGAGCAACACACTGAGGCGCGGTCTACCACATTCCCCTCACGCTCAGGTACACAAACATCAAGGCGCTCAAGAGATCGAATTCCAGCCAATAGCCATGGATTCTTGATTTCGAAACATTTACATTCAATTTCGAAACATTCTTCTGTCATTTCTGAATATAAATGTCTCTATTCGTTTCGATTACATTTTGACTTGGCCGTTTTCATA